CCCCTCCCCTCCTTCGAGCCCCTCATTCTCTATACGTTCGGGTCGAAGACGACGCAGCGTGCATCACCTCGGCTCAGGAAGCAGCAGTAGCAGCTGCGTCATCGGATGCCTAGACACGTCCAAACGTCGCCAGGTAGATCGTATCCCCTCTAGCCCTCCAGAGGGCAACACCCAACGTGCAAGTGCCTGACGATCCAGCAGATCTGATGGGTATACTACCACAAACGTAGCAAGCACCCAGGGCACTCATTCCAATACAACGGTGTGCCATTTCGCCCTGGCGAGGGCCACCACGAAGTTCCCCATAACCGTCACGTTATACTTCCGTCAGGAGGTCAGTCCGTACGGAGTTTCAGTAGGCCTTCTCTCAAAGAGCCCTGCTGCCCTAGAAATACCATCGGCGCTTGTTTCTGCTAGCCCAAAACAAAACACGTTTGATGCCGCAACGGATGCCTGACAACCACACGCTTACGGCAAGAAAAAAAAAGAAAAGCGACGACGATGACGACAGATGATCGAGGAAACGTCCGCAACAGACCACGCTCTGTTCCTCAAAGCATGCACACCACGACGCTGAATCAACACTCCGCCCCTTCCCACCAGCCAAAGGGGTACACCAAACGTGTACAAGTACTGCTAACGACTCCCCCTTTCCGGAGGAGGTTATGTTGTGTGAATGGCGAAAAGTGGGGAAAAAAACATCCTTGTGGCAAGGCAACAAAAAAAATACAAATAGGGAGACAACAAAGCACCGTTGCTCCTTTGTGTTGTGTAACCCCTGTCACTCTCGACACACCGCCTACCCGCAGCAAGCATTACACACTCACAGCGATTCCGCGGGGCACTCCTCATAATATTTAATCTCCACCCAGTACGCCAAGACCGCTGCTACGTTTCTCGCACTAACCCACCGCTGTACCGTAACGCGGCACCCCGCAACTCCCAATTCCGTGGTCCCCCAGCCGGCACGTGAGGTCAGTGCCTCTCATCAGACGTTTCTCTCAAAGAGTATAAATGACCAGGTTTCAAGAACATCAACCCACAATGCCAATGGGCGACCAAGTGGGCGGCCACTTCCTCTGGGGGGCCCCGCCGCATCAGCCAGTGCCGTACACATGGGCGATGAGACACAGAGAGGGACCATCCATCATGTCGCGATGGAGCCTCCGCCCGTGCCTTCCGCGGCGTCGAGGAGAACCCTGTAACGGCTGTCCGGTCTCGCCAAGAGCTGCTCGTGAGACCCTTCCTCCACGATCGTGCCCGCGTGCACCACGCAAATCTTGTCCGCTTTCCTGTGTAGACAAATTTGAGCACGACGGTCAGGAACAACAACCGTCTGTTCCACCAGCAGCAAGCATATAACAGCGAGCAGCCCGAAAAGTATGACCACCTACCCCGTTTCTCACCGAGCGTTTCAGCAGCGTCATGGGACAAAAAACGTTTTGTGGCTGAGCATCGGAATGGATTACAAACGCAAGGAGGATGAGAGACTGGCGAATCGGTCCAACACGCACTTAAAACCACGGAATGGTGCGGCAAGCAGGCCCGTGTGGTTTCTCGCCCCCCCCCCCCCCCCCCCCCCCCCCCCCCCCCCCCCCCCCCCCCCCCCCCCCCCCCCCCCCCCCCCCCCCCCCCCCCCCCCCCCCCCCCCCCCCCCNCCCCACATCCTGCTGATGTGACGTCCTCTTGTATACTTCCAACAAGACAAACAATCCCGGGTGGTCGAGTAGATCATGTCATGCGGGCTGGAGAACCCTCACTCCGCGCAAGCGGGATGATCGCGCCACGATGTGTAAATATGGTCAAGCACCCTCGAGGCAGTTACACAGTGCTTACAATTGTCTCTGGAAGTGAAAGCATCGAAAAATAAAATAACTAGTACGCAGCTGTCATCCGTATGTAAGGAAGTAAGCACAAACACCCTTCATGCGACTCGCCGAATACCTCGCGGCGTTTCGCGCTGGGTGATGTGAGAGCCTGGTCCTCGTGAGAACCCGGCGTGTTCCGTCCCGGCTTTGTAGGGATGCGAGGTCAATGGTCTAACGACTACGGCATGCACGACTGTGAGTACCCCCCCCCCGTTTTTTTCACCTCAAACCCCACGTCCCCTATACGCAACCTACTGAGTGAGAGGGGTGTACACAGAAAGAAAATATATGGTACACCCTATGCCGACGGCGAGAGAGCGATAAATACATGAGTAGTCTCTGGTGGGTGCATCCTACTCACCGGATCGTTGAAAGGCGATGTGCGATGACGATAGTAGTCCTCTGTCTCATGTCCACCAGCTGGTTGAGGGCTTCCTGCACGAGTCTCTCGGAGTCCATGTCTAGCGCCGAGGTCGCCTCGTCCAGCAGGAGGATCGCCGGGTCCTGTGGGTTGCGTGCAGGGTTTCGAAGCGGGCATGGCAAGAACATTATGCCGCGTACTATGTGATTTGGGTAAGAAATAGTGGAACGCCCATGAAATATGGAATCCATGGGGAGGAATGGATCAATCGACGTAGCAGGGTTACGTTTCAATAGCGCCAACACCGATGGATTCCAGTTTATTTGCCCAGGGCTGTATTTCGTGTTTCTTCTCTTATCGCGGTAGGAATATTGTTCTGGGCCCCCTTTATCACTTGCTTCATTTTTTCAAGTGCGTGGCCTCTTTTGGGCATGTTGGTTGGCCTGTGACCACGGAAGGGTTACGTGTCAGTTGGGCCGGCACGAACGTTCGAAGGTACCGAGCAGGGACCGGAGTTGTTCTTGAGAAAACCAGCAAAAACTCTCCAGTGGCTCCCGTGTCTAAGCGACGAGGTGGAGTTGTCAGGCGGAAAAACGGTCGGGTCCAGCTAGCAATGAAACATGAGGGTCTACGTCTGACATCTTCAACACTGCCACATGCCACAGCTACCAAATAAACCATCGGTGTTGTCCTTCCATAGGCTAGGGAGGGTAAGTGACAGGCCAACCCACCCGCACTAAAGCGGGCACCCGTCCTATTCAAAAACAGAGCATATTCTATCTACATCAAGATTTTTTACCCGCCAATAACAGTCTAGGACTCACGACTGCTGTAGTGGATTCACACCGAGGGTTGGTACGTGCGTGAAACGAAGTCGGTTGTTTGTGGGTATTGCTCCAACACCAAGGTGGTATGGTCCGGCAAACACTTACCGTTGTTGAGAAATAACATGCCGTGTTTTTGGCTGATCAAGAATAATCGACAACAATGTCACTGCACTGGAGCACCGCCATCGCTTCTTCTCGTTTCCCGACGACACCCACAAGGTACCCCCCCCCCCCCCCCC